TGTGGTGGGAGTCTGTGGGACTGTCAGGGTGCTCCAGGGCAGTGTGGGGGGGAGACTGGAACTGACAGGGTGGAGTCTGTGTAGTCAGCACTTCCTGAAGAGGAGAGATTGAAGGCTGGGGCTGCAGTTCAGTGGTCGAGTGCTTGCCTAGCATGTGTGAGGCACTGGGTTTGGTTCTTAGCACCACATATAAATAAAATCAATGTCCGTAGACAATTTTTTTTAAAAAGTTATACAAAAAAAAAAAAAAGTAAATAAGTAAAAAATGGATGATTGCAGGCTAGCGGCAAATCTCAGTGTTGCCCACATGTGCCAGCCTCCCGGTTCAATCCCAAAAGAAAAAAAGAGGGAAAGATGTATTTTGGCTCCGAGTTTTGAAGCCTGCAGTCAGTCCATGGTGGCTTGGCCCCACTGTTCTGGGCCTGTGCAGCACTTCATGGCAGGGAGCTGTGGTGAAGCAAAACTCCTCTGTCTGATGACGGATGGAGAGTTGATAAAGCAATGGATTGGGGGTTCTACTCTCCCCTTCAAGGGTCCACCCCCAGTAACTGGAAGACCTCCCCATAGGCCCCCACCTTGTAGTTTCCGTCACCTTCTAGCAGTGCCACAGGCTGGGTTCAAACCTTCAGTACATGGGCCCAGGGGAACACTCCAGACCCACTGTACAGCAGATGAGTACATAAGTGCACCAGAGGGGCTGCTAGAAGTAACCGCAGATGGCAGAGCCGAGCAGGCCACGGCAGGTCTTGCTGACCAACCTGTCTCCTTCTATCTGTGCTCCTTCTGGGTCATGGCTGGTCGGGTCTTCACCATTCAGTCCTCCACTGCCCCCCCCCCCCCCCCGTCTCCTCTGGAAACACCCTCACAGACATGCCCACAGACAATGCTTTCCCAGCTCTCTAGGTGTTCCTTAACCAGTCAGGTGCCACTGAAATGAGCCATCATAGTCCCTGGCTGCGTTTTCTGTCCAGAGTGGCAGATCATGCCCCATGTGGCCTGGCCAGGCTGCAGCTGTTGCTCCTGACTGTGCACTGTTGCATGTGAGGGACATTACCTCGAGCTTGTTCTGGGCCTCTGTCCGGTGGTTTCCTCTCCTGAGGCAGGTTGGCTCCCACCTCTGCTCCAGATGCTGGAGTGGGTGGTTCTTGCTCCTCCCCTCTAGGTTCACAGTTATTTCGTGCATTGCCAGAATAGGGGTAACATTAAGGGTTCCTAAAATTGCTATTTTAATCGTTATAAAGAAAAACTATTTCCATTAGCAACCAACTGCATATTTAGGTAGCCTGGAAGCTGGATGTTCTCCTGTGTTCGTCTCTCTGTGGGAGGGCCTCCTGGCAGGAAGAGTGCTGCCGCCCTAACTGGCCCTCCCATCTCTCCAGCCTTCTACACCAGCAGGTATGGCTACAAGATGTGTCTTCGAGTCTACCTGAACGGTGATGGCACCGGGAGAGGAACACATCTGTCTCTCTTCTTTGTGGTGATGAAAGGCCCCAATGATGCCCTCCTGCGGTGGCCCTTCAACCAGAAGGTGTGAGAGGCCATCCCCTTGTCTGGGGGAGTGCCTGGGAGCCCCTGGGGTGCAACTTCCAAGAGGCAAGGTTGTCTGGGACAGGAAGGTGTGAGAGGCCATCCCCTTGCCTGGGGGAGTTCCTGGGAGTCCTCCAGGGTGCAGCAGGTGCATGAGGCTTTGGTAGTTTCTAGTCTGTTCCATGGTTACTGAGTGCTGGTTAAGATATGGGCAACTGGCTTCATGATCCACCAGTAGGGTTGAAGGTCCATCTGGGAGCATGTGCTCCAGAGGAAGGTGGCAGCCACAGGGCTGTCTGGGGGTATGATTGAGTATTTGAAACCAGGTCCATATTGGTTGAGGATTTGAAGCTTGAGACCAGGTCGGAATGAGGATGACCCTTCCCTCCACCATCCTTCCAGCAGCCAGCAGAGGGGGCAGCTGGGAGGGGGAGTGGCAGGAGGCCCAGTGCCGATGAGCAGTCTGCAGCCAGGGGGTCTGGGGTTCTCTCCAGAAGTGCCTTCCTCCAGGTGGGCAGTGTGCTGCTTCTCTGTCAGTGCTGTTCAGGGGCAGCACAGGGAGCAGCCCCTTTGACCTGAGGTTCCAGTTATCAATACACACAGGTGCCAACATGGGCACATTCTTAAGCAAGACGCGGAGCACATTGTGGCCAGGGTGCCCAAGTGCTCTATTCTGGGAGTGTATAGCCACTTCAGGTCTCTTGGGAGCCAGAGCACAGGAGGACTTGGGTGACTCATGGGTACCTGTCCCCTTCCCTGGGCTGCCTCCTGTCAGGTGACGTTGATGCTGCTGGACCAGAACAACCGGGAGCACGTGATAGATGCCTTCAGGCCCGACATAACCTCATCCTCCTTCCAGAGGCCAGTCAGCGACATGAACATTGCCAGTGGCTGCCCCCTCTTCTGCCCTGTGTCCAAGATGGAGGCCAAGAATTCCTACGTGCGAGATGATGCCATCTTCATCAAGGCCATTGTGGACCTGACTGGGCTGTAGCCACCCCTCAGCAGGTGCAGGAGCTCAGTGAGGAGCTGACACGCTGGTCAAGAGCCCTGCTGTGCAGGGCAGGCAGTCTGGGTGTAGGTGCTGGGGAGGCCTCAGCCTGCAGCCATGCTCACTGTCACATGAGGAAGGAGCTGTTTGCTAGTCCTCAGCTGGCAGAGACTGGAGAGACCCTGATGGCTCACCCCAGATCCCTGGTGGGATTGGCCAGAGCTCTTCTGATTCCCATCAGAACTGCCCTCATTGTTTTCTGTGCAGTGTAGGGAGAGTTCCTGGGTAGGGTGCCCAGAGGGGAGCTTCAGAGCTGTCTGAGCCGCAGGAGTGTGGTGGGTGGCCTGGTGCCTTTGGTGTAGTCATCAGAAAGGAGGCGTGGTCTGCGCTGGGAGAAGGGCCTCTGTCTGCAGAGTGTGGCCCGGAAGAGAAAGGGTGCTCGGAACCCAGGTGCTCTTAGGACAGGAGCCCGTCTGTGCTGGCCAGGCTGAGAAGCGGTGTCTAGCCCCGCCCCGTGTTGGCTACACCATCAGGCTGAGGAGAAATCACTATTAAACTGTTCAGACCTCTGTGGTGAGTTGTGTCCATCTGGCTTCAGATTGCCTGTGGCTTCCGCCTGGGCAGGGGTGACCCTCTGGAGCCTTCTTCTTTTCCCATGGGCCTTTTCTAACAACTGGGGCTGCCTTCCCTGCTGCCAGCTCCCCAGAGGTTCCTGTGAGGCAAGGGCCCATGTGACCACCCCATCCTGGGCCTGGCTATGGTGGGGCAAAGGAATAGACCCTTGGCCTCCCTGCATGCAGGGGGTCACTCAAGGATCCTGGCCTGGCTTGTTCCCAGGACTGTGTGGGTGGGGCGTGGGTGTGGGTGCTCGCTTAGTCCCAGGCTGTGCCACCAGGCTCGCTGGTGTGTTAACCACTGGGAGGAAGTGTAACCTCCTTCACCCCTCCCACTGGGTGTTTTGAGATGTCACTGGGTAGAAAGGCACCGAGCAAGTGAGGGTGAGCACCAGGACTGCTTGGGATGTGCTGTCATGTACATGCTTGTCACTGATTGTCACTCATTCTGCCTGGGTTTCTGAGCTCTATCTCTGTGTTTCTGAGAGTGTTATGTTTTACAGTGTGTAGAAAGTGCCCTGAGATGTGGGCAGGTGGCTGGCTTTTTCACTCACCTGTCAGAGGCCCCTCGTGTGGTGGCTCGTTGGGCACGTCCCGCTGCTATGTGGTGTGTAGCTGGAGAACACAACTTGGCCTTTGTCCTGAGACCATGTCTTTGAATATTGATGACTGTGAGCATCAGCACAGACCTGGCCACCTTCTGTGGACCTTGAGAGTTGGGCCACGGGGTCTCCCCTTCTTAGCTGCTGCTGACCTGCTCTGGGGCAGGTGCCCACACCTTTGTCCCTGCAGTGCTTCGTGTTGTCAGACTTTACCGTGTGTGGACAGTCCATCCTAATGCACATTTCCTGACACAGTAGGGTCAGGCCTCCCTCCCTATTAGGTTCATTGTTCATTTGGGATTCTCCTACAGGAATTGTTAGTTTGTGTCTGTGTCCACTGTTCTACTGGGATGTTGACCTGGTTTCCTCCTCCTCTCCCTGGATACTAGTCCTTGGTTTGAAATGTTTGTGTGAAACTTAAAATTTTAGATAGGCTCAGTTGAATATTGGTTTTAAAGTCTTGTTTTGTGTCTTGGTACCTGGGATTTACCCAGGAGTGCTTTATTCCGAGGTACATCCCTAGACCTTTTTACTTTTTGAGAAAAGGCCTTGCTAAGTTGCTGAGACTGGCCTCAGGCTTGCAGTCCTCCTGTCAGCCTCCTGAGTTACTGAATCACAGGCAAAGTTTTGTTTTAATATAGTGGGTTTCTATGTTTGGGGATTTGTTTATCTGTAATGTATATTCTTTTTTATTATTATTATTTTTTTAGTTGTTGATAGACCTTTATTTTTTTTAATTTATATGAGGTGCTGCGAATTGAACCCAGTGCCTCACACATACCAGGCAAGTGTGCTACCACTGATCCCTAGCCCAAGCCCCAACATATATTCTTAGAATGAATTCAGGTTAAAGCTGAGGGATCATTGATATCATTTTCTTTCCCTTCAAAGAAAAATGAAGCTGGGTGTGGTGGTGCAAATCTGTTAATCCCAGCTACTTGGGAGGCTGAGGAGGATACAGGTTCAAGGCCAGTCTGGGCAACTTACTGAGACCCTGTCTCAAGATAAAATTGGAAAAAACAGAAGGGCTGGTGATACAGCTTAGCATGCACAAGGCCCTGAGTTTCTTCCCCAGCACTGCCAAAAGAGGGGGGAAGGAGGAAACAGACTGGGGTACAGCTTAGTGGCAGAGCATGTGCCCGCCCGCACCAGGCCCTGGGTTTCATCCCTGGCATGCAAGAGCACACACACAAAAGAAGAAGGTAAAAAAGAAATGGAACTGCAGAGTGAGAGGAGTGGGGACAAAGTTGGGAAGAAGGCCACAGCAAAGAGTCCTAATCTCGTTTGGAAGTGGAAAGTGGGTCAGGGAGTGGAAACTTAGCAGAAGCGGGTGGAGGTGGTGGTCTGCCAACCTGTTGGGGCCCTGGGGTGGGGAAGGGGCAGTGAGTGAAAGGGGATCGCTTGCAGGTGCCTCTTTGCTGTCCTGGGGGCAGGTGTCCCCTCAACCTCACCCTGCAGGGGTGACAGGTCTGGAGGACCTAGAGGAAAGCCAAGGACGGTCCCCACCCCAGTGCAGAGAGGGGCTGCAGCTGAAAGGGGGAGAAGAGGAGGGGATCCTCCAGGGAGACCTGTGAGCTGGACTGGCCTGCTGTGCTTGCCCTCCAGGGAGGCGAGGGCCCTGCTCATGTCCTGGTCACCAGTGTTCACATCACTAATTTTAGGAACCTGACAGCAGCCACTCCATCCTCTCCCTCAGACTAATGGCCTCAGATCTGCCTCGCCCTGTGGATCTGCCTGTTCTGGACAGCCATGTGGAGGGACTCGGCCTGTGGTGGTGTGTGTCTGGCTTTTGGCACCCGTGTGGTGCCAGAGTTCCACTTTGTTACATTTGGATTGGAGGGACCCGTTTGTGTCTCCACTCGGTTGATGGACATTTGGGTGGTTTCCACTTACTAGTCACCCTGAAAATGCTGTCTCTGAACATTCACTGTTTCCCATGGACGTGTTTTCATTTCTCTCAACTCTCCCTACCTGGGGGTAGAGCTTCTGGGCTGTGTTCAGCTTTTTTATTTTATTTTTTTCCCAGTGCTCGGGGGTGAATCCAGGGTCTCCCGCAGATGCTGGGCAAACTCCACCTCTGAGCCACACCCAGCCAGGTTTGGCGCCCTTGGTGCTCAGCTGCATCATCTCTTCCCATCAGTGAGCGCGTCTCAGTTTGTGCTGTCCTCTGGTCATCCTCTGCACTCGTGTCAGCTGGGACTTCAGTTCCATCACGTCTCTCCAGTACACTGACTCTGAAGCATGCAACAGCAGTGCCAGTTTCAGCGTGTCTCCTTGCTCGCGGTGTTTCTTGTGTCTCTGTCTTGCTTGTCTTGAGAAAGAACACTGGCATTCTTTCTCCAGGGGCCTCAGACTTCCTGTGCCTGGGCTCTCTGCAAGCCATCCGCCGTCTGAACCTCGAGGGCGGGATTGCAGCTGTCCCCCTGCACCACCCCGTCTCACCCTTTCTTGGTACAGGTTATTTGGCTTAACTTTCTGGGTGGGTGATTTTTCCTCAGCACTTTGAGGCCACAGTCCTGTTACCTGAATCTGTTGCTTCAACATCTGCTGCTTGTCTGCCATGCTTTGTACAGGTAAAATGAGTTTTCTCCCTAGTGCTTTTTAAAATTTCACATAGTAGAACTGTTTTTTCCCCTTTTGGTGCAGTTCTGGAATTTAACCCCTGTAGGCAGCATGCAGGTGGCTCCGTCTTCCCAGGCCCCCGCCCTTCCCAGGCACACCCAGCAGCCACTCCCTGTCCTCCCTGGCTGGTGTGTGTGAGTGGGGCCATGCAGCCTGTGGTGTACTGTTGCACAAGGCATTGTGCCTCTTGAGAGTCAGGTGCCACTGCCCCGCTCTGCGGCAGAGTCCAGTGCACGGATGACCATGGGGAGTCTGTTCACCCCTGGAAGCATGTTTGTATGTTTTTTTGTTCGTTTGTTTGTTTGTTTTGTTGTTGTTGTTTCAGTTGTAGATGGACACAATACCTTTATTTTATTTGTTTATTTATTTATTTTCATGTGGTGCTGAGGATCAAACCCAGTGCCTCACATGTGTGAGGCAAGCGCTCTACCGCTGAGCCACTACCCCAGCCCCTGTATGTTTTTTGTTGTTTGTTGAGTTTTGTTTCGTTTTTGCAGTCATGAATAGAGCTGCTGTAACATTGTGTATGATGAGCAGGTCTCATTTCTCTAAGGCAGAGCCTGAGAGTGGGTGGCCTGGTCACACAGTGAATCATCTCGCATATCTATTTGCTTTTTGAGACATGTTCTCACGGTGCTGCCCAGGCTGGTCTCCAGTGCTTGGGCTCAAGTGGTCCTCCTGCTTCAGCCTCTCAGCAGCTGGGGCTGGAGGAATACATCACCGCGCCTGCTTGGTGAGCACATTGTCAGACTCCTTCTAGACGAGCGCTCCTGAGTGGAGCACCACCATGCTGTGGCTCTGCGGTCCAGGCACTCAGCAGCACTGGGTAGGGTCAGTACTTGGTTGTTCTCATGATGCGTGTGCAAGGCTGACTTCTGAAGTGTCCATTTGCTCCCTGCATTTCCTGGCTGGCATTCGTCACAGGGTTGGACTTGTGAAGGCTCCTCTTCCACTGAGTGTGGTGGTATAGGCTTTTGTTGGGCACTTACCAGGTTGAACAGCTTCCTTCTTCTTTGTAGCTTGCCAGGAGTTTTTTTGTGTGTGCTGGGGATTGAACCCAGGGGTGCTCTATTACTGAGCTGCTCCCCAGCCCTTTTCATTTTTTATTTTGACACAGGGTCTGCTAAGTTTCTGAGGCTGGCCGGAAACTTGCATTCCTCCTGCCTCACCCTCCCAAGTTGTTGGGGTCACAGGCGCCACCACACCTGGCTGGAATTTTTTTTTTTTAATTGTGTGCTGTTTTGTTCAGCGCTTATTCTCATGGGAGGGGCTCCATGTGGCCTTTCTTGGTGAGCGCATTGTGAATTCACACACTGGTGGCCATCTGCTGTGCCGGACCAGCCTTGCCTTCCTGGAGTAACCCGTGTGGTGGTGCCTCACCTTTACCTGCTGCTGGGTTTGATTTGATGTTTTGTTGACTCTTGGCATCTGTGTGTGTGAGGTATACTTGTCTGTGGTTCTCTTTTTGTATGGTTGTCCCTTATCCATGATTTCACTTTCCCTGATGTGTTACCTTTGTTCAGCTGTAGTCCATAAGTGGAAAATTCCAGAAATAAGCAATGCATAAGTTTCAGGTTGTGTGCCAATCTGAGGAGCATGATGAAATCTCACCATCCTTGTACCATTCTTCTTCTGTGGTGTCCAGATGTGAACCACCCCTGCGTCCAGCATGTCCATGCATATGCCCCACCCACCCACAGGCACTAGCAGTACCAATGCTGTTTGCTTGTAG